TAATAAAAAAAAAAACCTAGAGAGTGTAGGGCTGTAGTTAACATAGCTCAACATAATAAAATCCATATATGGGAACCCACAGTCAATATCACACTAAATGAGGAGCTTGATGCAATCCACTGAGGTCAGGAATGATAGGGATGTCCACTGTCTCCATTCCTAATCAATACTGTGCTCTAAATACTAAAATACTAAAAACAAGGTAAGAAAATAAAATTAAAAGGATACAAGTGAGGAAAGAAGTTAGACTATCCATATTTGCAGATGACATGACATTATACATATCATATACATACCTATAGAGATTTCAATTTCAAAATTTCTACCAGAAAACTTCTAGAAGTGATAAACAAATTTAGCAATGTGGCAAATACAAGATCAGCTTCCACAAAGCAGTATCTTGTCTATACATCAACAACAAAAGAGAGAGTGGGTAATAAATATATCGTGGACACATGCAATTCCATTCCCAAAAGCCTGAAAGAAAATAAAATATCTAGGAATAAAATTGATCTGGAAAGAGAAGGACTTTTACAATAAAAACTTTAAATCTCTGAAGAAATAGAGAACAACATTAGAAATTTTAAATACACTCCATCCTCTTGGATTAGTGAGATTTATATTTTGAAAATTACCATTTCACTAAAACAGACTTACAGATTCAATGCAATCCCAATTTTTTTAAAAAAAAAAAAAAAAATCCCCACTGGGCGGTGGTGGCACACGCCTTTAATCCCAGCACTTGGGAGGCAGAGGCAGGCGGATTTTCTGAGTTCAAGGCCAGCCTGGTCTACAGAGTGAGTTCCAGGACAGCCAGGGCTATACAGAGAAACCCTGTCTCAAAAAAAAAAAAAAAAATCCCCATCTCATCATTCACAGAGTTTGAAAAAGAAAAAAAAAAAAACCTATCCTGCAATTCAGATGAAATCACAAAAGACTAAAACTATCCTAAAAGAAAGATTAATGCTGGAGCTCTTACCTTTCTATATCTTAAGATACATTTCGGAGCCTTAGTGACAACACGATGTGACTCCGGCACAGAACAAATGTGTGGGCCCATGAAAGAACACGCATGTATGAGTACACATAACTTGAGCCATTTAATGTTTAACAGTGATGCCAAAAACAAAAGCTAGAGAAAAGAATGTGCCTTCACCTGTAATAGTGCTGGGAAACTGGATATCCACATGCAACAGGATGGAATTAGACCTGTATCTCTGACCTTGACAAAATGCCTTACTCCAACACCATTGAAGGCCTGCGCATGAAACATGAAATACTGACACAAGTGCAGAAAAGGACTTTCTGAATAAGACTCCATTTGTCCAACAATTAACACCGAAGGTTGATAAGTGGTACTTCATAAAACTAAAATCTCTGTGTGTCTAAAGAAACAATCAACAGATAAGGAAGAACCATACAGTATAGGGGGAAAAAACTTCATCAGCAACACATCTGACAAAGGATTAATACCCAGAGTACATTAAGAACTCAAAAATGAGTTTAAAAAAAATGACTTCTTTAAAACCTCAGCCCAGTATCTGAACAAAGAATTCCCAAAAGAAGAAAAAGCAAACAAACAGACATACAAAAGCTAAGAAATACTTGAAAAAATGTTTATCACCCATAACAATTAGGGACACAGCCACCGCTAGCGGAATTGCAAACTGGTGCCGCTACTCTGGAAATCAATGTGGGGGAACTCTCAAAAATAAAAAATAAATAATAATTATCACATAATCCAGCTCTACTGTAGCTCCTTGACATATGCCTGAAGGACTCAACATCCTGCCCCAGAGATGTGTGCTCAGCCGTGCTCCTTGCTGCTGTGTTCACAATAGCTAGGAAATGGAAACAACATGAATATCTTTCAACCAGGGAGCGGCACTATTAGAAGGTGTGGCCTTGTTGGTGTGTCACTGTGGGTGTGGAATATTCCTAGCTTCCTGGAACTCAGTATTCTGCAAGCAGCCTTCAGATGAAGATGTAGAACTCTTAGCTCCTCCTGCACCATGCCTGCCTGGATGCTGTCATGCTCTTTCCTTGATGATGATGAACTGAACCTCTGAACCTCTAAGCCAGCCTCAATTAAATGTTGTCCTTATAAGACTTGCATTGGTCATGGTCTCTGTTCACAGCAGTAAAACCCTAAGACAACCAGTTAGTGGATGATGAAAGTGTGGTGTGTATACACTGTGGAATACTATTGATCTGTGAAGAAAAGTGAAATCATGAACACTGCAGGTAAATGGATGGAACTAGAAAAGGTCCAAATATTGAATGACATAACACAGACTCAGAAAGAAAAACACTCCATGTTCTTCTCTCTCTCATTTGGGAACCATTGCCAATTTAGTCTTCTGAATGAAAATGGCCCCCATAGACTCAAGGAGTGACATTGTTGAAGGTGTGGCCTTGTTGGAGTAGCTATGGCCTTGTTGGAAAAAGAGTGTCACTGAGAGGTGGGCTTTAAGGTTTCAGGTGCTCAAGCTAGGCTCAGTGTCTCACTCTCTTCCTGCCATCTGCTAATCCAGAGGTAGAAGTCTCAGCTACCTCTCCAGCACCATGTCTGCTTGCATGTCGCTGTTGTCCGCCATATTTCCCACCATGACAATAATGAACTAAATCCCTCAATTTTAAGCCAGCACCAAGTTAAATGTTTCCCTACAGGGTTGTCATGGTCATGGCATCTATTCACAGCAATAGAACCACTAACTAAGATAAGCTGTCTTCCTTATATTGACCATGGCACCACTGAGAGATGACTGAAGGTTTGGAGGTGTAACTGAGAAGTAAGATATTTTTCACAGCAGGGGCCAGGTCCTTCATTTCATTCCTGGACACCACCAGAAGAAGAAGGAGGAAGAGGAGGATGAACAGAAAAGAGACTGTTGAGCTCCTCATACTATCAGAATAATCCTCACTAGCACCTCCTCAGTTAAAAGAACCATCCCAGTTACAAACACTGAGCTTCAGTGCCTCCAAATAAAAATGTGATACGTGTGCGTATGTGTGTGTGTGTGTGTATGTGTGTGTGTTATATAGAGAGATTTATTTTTATGTGTGTGTATGTGTGCACCTTTGTGAGCCTATCACTCCCATGTGGGTACAGGGAACTGCAGAGGCCAGAGAGAATCACATTCTACGGAACTGGAGTTACACATGGTTCTGACCCACCTGATAGTGGTGCTGGAAACCACACCCCAGGGTCCTCTGCAAGAACTGTAAACGCTCTTAATGACTGAGCCATCTTTCCAGTACCCACAACATATATTTTTATTAGTGTTAGGCTCATAACCTGACCTTACTTGCTATCTACCCAGGAGATCTTTCTTAAGGTGCACATCAGACAACAGACTGGATTATCATTAATCACAGGTGTTGTCCCTCACTTGATTTGAGGCAAGGACAACCAGTTTTGGGTAAAGCCTTTGCTTCCCTCTGGATCTCCATCCACAAAGGTTGGTTTTATCATATGGAAAGGTTCAATTAATCAGTGCCTGAGTGACAATGATTTTTAAAAGATGGAAATTCTCCCATCTGTATTGGCTAGTCTTAGGTCACCTTGACACAAGCTATGGTTATTTGAGAGGAGGGAACCTCAGTTGAGAAAATGCCTCCAGAAGATCTAACTATAAGCAGACAAGCCCATAGGGGCATTTTCTTCTTAATTAGTGATTGATAGGAGAAGGCCCAATGGGTTGGGCCCTTTGTGGGTGGGGATACTCCTGCACCACTAGTCCTAGGCTTGTCTGCTTATAGCTAGATCTTCTGGAGGCATTTTCTCAACTGATGTTCCCTCTTCTCAAATAACCATAGCTTGTGTCAAGGTGCCAGGATGAATAGTGATGTGGAGGTGTAATCCAGTTAACTCTTTCCTGCACTGGGCTCTGTGTTTTATCACAGCAGTGATAAGCCTAAGACACCATCTTATGTGATTTGTAGAAAGTGACTTAATTGTTAAAGAGTTTCAGATACTTTTGCTGAAATGTTAATAAACACCACTCACTCCTGGATTTATGAAGAATTGTGGAGAAGGGACGGGGGTATGGATCTCCATGTGTGCAGTCCTGAGGAGCTGTGTCTACCTTCAGCCACACTGACTTTCCAACCCTGACTGCCTCCTCATTCCCAGATTCTACACCCATGGTCCAGCTCTCCCTCCAGTCTGCTACATTAGTGCTAACGACTCAAAATATGGCACCATAACAGTGAGAAAATAGGGTTATAATCAGAGGGCCAAATAGGATTGTAGTCAGAGGGCCAAAATGGGGTGGGGAAGGGAGTAAGACTAAGACTGGCAGTTGCACAGGACACAAGGATTGTGCTATGCAACTTCAACTCAGGATATGTTTGTGGAATCAGTAGCTAATTGTGATGTGTGTGTGTGAGTGATGAATCCCCAAAAGCACCCCGGGGAAGAAAGGGGTTTATTTGGATTTACACTTCCATATAGCTGTTCATCATTGAAAGGAGACAGGACAGGAATTCAAGCATGGCAGGACTCCATGGCAGGAGCTGATGTCGAGGTCATGAAGGGGTGCTGCTTACTAGCTTGCTCAGCCTGCTATGTATGTAGACCCCAGGACCAGCAGCCCAACGATGCACCACCCATAACAATCTGCTCCCTCCCTCATCAATCACTAATTAAGAAATGTCCCACAAGCTTGCCTGCAGCCTGATCTTAGGAAGACAGTTTCTTAACTGAGGTTCCCTCCTCTCAAATGACTTTAGCTTATGCCAAGTTGACATAAAACAATCTAGCACAAGGGTAAGATGGAAATGAATTCTAAGGGGCCCTGGAGGATCTTCCAGCCTAGGTAGTAAGCTGCTTCCAGAGCTAACCTCACTTGCTAAAGCAGTGTTAATATCGCTTTGTTTTTAACACAGTTTCTACTTACTGGAATCCCTTTAGAAATGAAAGCTAGTTTAGTTTCACTTTCCTGTTCTTGGAAATGCAGGGTTTTCCGCGACTAGATACACCCTCCCCTGTGAGGAGAGACAAAAGCCAGAAGTGTACAAGCCCTGCCCAACTTTCTTGTTTCCACTGAAGAAGCAGAAGTGATCTCAAGCCTAGAGCTCAGCCAAGGGCTATTCCTCTCCGGAGCAGTGAGTGCATCCAGTGAATACAGGTTTTCAGGTACTCAGCATTCAGATCCGATTACTCACTAATCATCTTCTCTTTCCTAAGGAGCCTGTGGGAACAAGACATTTAGAGAAATAGTCTCAGAACTGGGATCCTCGGTTTGGAAAGAAGCTAAGGGGCTTTGAGTGGAGGTAGTGAGGACTTGTTTATAGATGTTCTTTAGTTAGACCTAAACTAAATGACTTAAGTATTATTTAAAACTTATCCAGTTTGGCGGGGAGGGGGGATTGCTTCTTTGTTCTCTCTTCCCTGTAACAGTTGAAAATGAACCTTGCAGGATATGTGTTATGAAAGGTCACTACAGAATAGATGAAAATTCTGTCTTCATCCTGTTACTTCCCAGTACTATTTTCTTGCCTCTTTCCACCCAGTTCAGCAGATTTATCTTGACTGGAGTAAAAGATACCCACAGGCAGTGCTTCTGCTATAACCTGCTGGAGAGCAATTCTAAAATTTGTGTGTTTGTTTTGTTTTAAAGTATTTTTATTTAGTGTACGAAGATTTCATATGTATATATAATATTTTGATTAACTTCCCCCATCATTCCTCTTTCTTTTCTCACCCATATTCCCTCTGGGACTCTTGCCCTCCCCAGTGACTGCTGCTCTGCTTTCTTGTCTTTTTTTTTTTTAATCTTCCGCTGATTTTAGGGTCATTTGCATGTTCTGGGTGTAGAATTATTTACTGAATCATGAGCAACTTTCTAGTAGCTACATTTCTAAAAAGAAAAAAAAAATGACACTTCCTCCCACCAGTCATTACTCTTATATTAAGCTAAGGATGAGGTCTCCTGTGCCCCTAGTCTCATGAATGCTAAAATGTTGAGGTGCTAGTTCTCATGTAAGTCTTGGGCAGCTGCCGTGAGTCCAAATTCCATGTCACATTAATAAGACATTAAGTCACACCACTCCCCAGGCCTCATCCCCTGGCTCTTGTACGATGTTTCCTGAGCCTGACTAAGGTGGGGGGTTGATACAGATGTCCCCCTCCCTGTTCTATTTAGGAACGAGAACTCAATAGTCTCTCATTCTCAGCCCTTTGACCAGTTATGAGACTAGGCATTAAAATCCTACCCACTGCAAAAACAAATGGGACACAAAGAGCAGCAACAAAACCCTTGTCTGAGTGAGGCTGAGAGCATTGCTAATCTCTGTTATAACCAGAAATACAAGTTGCAGAGGGCAACTTGACAACATGTCCATTTACCAAAACAATAGCAGTAGATGCTGTGGACATTTTTAACTGGGCAGTCGTCTTTAACTTCACGGGATTTAAAATAGAGTCAGGGTGCTAATGAAGAAGTGCATCTTTCTGCAATGATGGATATTTCACATCACTGTCATTTGTTGTCCTCATGCGCAGCGCAAAGGCATTGAAGATCATTTTTTTGCTGTTGTTTTATTTTTCTCTTTATCATTCTAGTAATTCTTTGAGAATTTTGTATTTTACTTATTTTTATTACATTTACTTATTCATTTTATGTATATTCCTGTACTGAGGTCATATAGCATGCATATGGAGGTCAAATGACAAGTTGTGGAAGTCTCTTCTCTCTCCCCGCTATGTGAGTCTTGGGACTAGAACTCAGAACACCTAGCTTAGTGACAAGAACTCTTACCTGCTGAGCCATCTTGCTGGCCCAAGACAAACTTCAGTGTGTGATTAGAGCAGGGGATGGAGACTAAAAGAATGGGAAGCTTTTATGAAACGATCCCCAGAATCTTTTGTCTTCATGATTTCCTCCTCCCCTCAGGGTAAATAGTGTGTCCATATCCATCCTGGTTGCCCTGATAGATATAATTGTTTACATTTTCATCAGGGTCCAGTCAGCTTTTGTGATTGGCCAAATTTATTACCTAGTAAGTAATTTCAGTAACAATCAGGAAAGTTTAAATCTGCCCTTCTGCCCCCCCATTAGTTTTATCTAAAGCTGATTGAGTATGACCTGCGTACCTGTCCAGCTTTGGGTACAAAATTCAGATGGGACTAGATCGTAGAGTCTCATGGGGTCATTCTGATATGTTAGTAGGAATTACCTAGCCAGGAGGCCAGGGGCTGAGCACCTCCCCCACCTGTGCAGGTTGTGTTATGTCTTTGTAAGGCCACCATTTTTCTGAGTGTGGGGAGCAGAGCTTTGACTTTGTCACACTGTTGCTCGGCACTTTGTTGTGTTGCTAACAACACTGCTGGGGCATAGGGCCAGCTGTCCATGTCCGCAGTCGCACGTCAAGAGAAAATGCAAATAATTATCTTAAGGAAACACCAAGTTCAGATAATTTTACAAGAAATGTATATATGAATTTTGGTATTAAGATATTGAATCCCATAACATTAAATAAAAATGTATTCTCTACTAGCCCCACAAATTGCTATTGAATTCAATTTTTTTGTAACTCATCACAACCTTTACCTCATGGCTCTGGTGAATGTTATTTTAATTAAATTCTTTTGTAAGTGAAGCCAAAAGCATATCAATATCTTAAAGGAACCTCGTTGAGATAAATAAAACTAGATTTTAAAATTTGTTTCAGTGTAGTGAACTTTGACCTTGGGGTTTTTTAAAACCCTTTAACTATAGCCAACTTAGTCATACCCATAAACTTTTTTACCTTTTACAAAATATCTATGGCAGATTACATTTTGGGTTTTTAGTTTGCTTCACCCCTCACTCTAGAGCCATCCTCTTACAACAAAACCAATTTACAAGCTAAAATTCCTTTCCTTCAATATCTTCTTTAAAAATGTATCCGGATACTTAAGACCTTTTAAGCACATTTTTCCCTACTTATTAGATCCTGTTTTTATTTTTTAATATTGTAAAGCATAATGATATAAATAAATGACTAAGGTATTTGTTGCCCCAAAGACCTGGCCAAGTTGAAATGATTGCTTTATCATAGGATCATAAGTATAATTAGACCAATTTGCCAGAACTGGCTCTATCAAGCTATTATCAAAAATGAGACTATGTCCTCGATTGCAACAGTCAGGGCTCTGGAAGGAAGCAGAAGGCAGAACACACAGATACCTTAAACCAGAAGCCGTGTAGCTCTTATCCTTGGAGTACAAAACAGAATACATGTGTGCATTTAAATTAGAAGTCAGATCACTTGAAACATTTATAAATCTTAAGAAACTTAAACAAATCTGTGGATGCCGGTTCTGGGCAGTGTCTGTGTTCAGTTTTATTGGTTGTGCTGTTGTCCTGTGGCAGGGCAGGCTCAGAGATAAGCCTCCGTTGTCTCTGGGTAGGAATTTTATCTTATAGTCCTAGCTGCAATCTGTCCCAGGGAAGCAAAGAGCATTATAACATTTAAGAGACAATTATTAACCCAAGTGGCCAGCAGCCCAGGAAGAATACACATCAGCAATTCTGAAGGCAGCCTCACCTTTTACCAACAAATCTAAGTTATTCCTCAAAGATTTATTTAAGTTATGTGAATGAAAAGGCATTTAGGATAATCTACCAGTTATAATTTAGCTTAATGCCCACTACAAGATAATTTGGTACCATGTAAGAAATATATGAGCATAATCATACATGTAGACATGACACAACATACACATTCATGAAAACATACATCAAACACATTTTTTAAAAATCACAAGAATTCTTTTGTTAAATTTATCACGTCAAGATATTTTTTAAGTCGACTACCCTTAAGATTTTTTCCATGTCTCTAAGAAAGCTTCAATCTTAAATCTGTTCTTTAAAAATGTTAACTTTCAGTTGAAAAAAAAAAACTTAGAAAGCTTATATCCTAGTACGTAGCCCTTACCATAAATGAATTAACTAAATGGGAAGTGGTATGACACTGGGGGGTTGGGGTAGGGGAAGACTAGTCAACATGCAAACTCTTTTCTTTACTCAGTTGAAGTTTGATTTTGGTGTTTACAGGACTGAGTTGCAAAATCACATATCTGGATGATCTGGAACATGAAAAGGAAACCATCCAATCAATAAGACAAAAAAACCAAAGTACACACACACACACACACACACACACACACCCTGAATACGTTTACCTTTATGCAGATCTATAGGATGAGAAATTCCACCTCCTTACCATCAGGAAAGATCCCAGGTCTGGGGTTCAAGAAGCATACTGAGGCAGATAAGGACTTGTGAATGCCATTGACAGGCAGACAGCAGCACAGCAGAGGCTCTGAGATCAAGCCCAAGTGACAGAGTGGGAAATCCCTTCTTAGGGTCCCAGAGAGAGAGAGAGGAGGTTCTGTGCCATGTGTGCTTGTAAAGGTGATTTTCCTCATGGAGTCCTATCATTCCTGAAATTATCACAATTCAACCTAAATGTGGTTACTTTACAGAATGGTGTGGTCCTGGCTAACACTTTAAAGTGCTAGAAGTTAAACCCAGAATTTCGTCCAATCTCCTCAGACCTCCTTTGAGGCTTTCATAGTCAAGTTTCCCCGACTAGACTCCCGTTCCAGATAAAGGAGACTCCTGTTAGTCTCCCTGGAACCTGAATGGACAAGAATGCCTCGCAGTTCTCCAGAGTGCAGGGTCAAGATGCAGTCTCAAACCTGTGGCTGAGACTCTCTGCATGCTTCCCTGATCCATCTGGTTTTTCTCCCTCTATCACAGAACTGTTAGGTGGCTCATCATTGGCAAGATTGGAACAACTTCTGAAGCAACAAGGCTTTCTCAGGACCTCCTGGCTGTGCACAGGTCCCTGAGATACTTCCCTTCCCTGTTTTATTTCTGGCAGTGGTGAGGGGTCTTTCCTGAAACTGGGCTCTTTAATTTAATCAGCAATTAAAAGCTTTCATCTGGGTAACACCAATGTGTAACCTGACCCACTGAATCCACCTCTTAGTTATCACAAATCCAAAATATACAAGCCAAATAGGACACCATGAAAAAATACTTAGTATCTGAGTCAGGCAAAGCTCTAGCTTACTCCCCAACAAGGGAAGCATAGGAATTTTTCCTATAGAGAGAGGTGTGTGAACTTTCATGCATGAACATTTTAAGATCACATTCCCTGAGCATGCTCATTTTAAAGTGATGTACAGAACTGCCTCTCAGAATCCTCAGCTTTCACAGTGACATTTTAGCTGACAATAAAGAAAACAATAGCTTGAAGTTGCTGAATATGAAGGCATCTGTCCATGAAGGCGCCTGCCTTGTTTAGTCAGTAACATGTTGACACTTGTTCTTGTCCTTTCTTAACATCCTGACATGGAGGGAGACTTCACATGACTGCAGAGCAGTCAGGATACACAAATATTTTACAGGAATGCCAATGGCTTTATATACTTTCCATCTCATGTTAGCTTCTTGTGTTCAAAATTTTGGGGTGTCATTTTGTTTTGTAAAACAGGGTTTCTCTGCTTCTGTTGTTCTGGCTGTCCTGGAACTCACTCTATAGACTAGGCTACCCTCAAACTCACAGAGATCTGCCTACCTCTGTCTCTGAAGTGTTGGGATTAAAGGCATGCCATCACTGCCTGACTTCTATTCAGACTTTGTATGAAACCTAGGAACAGGGACTAGTGGCACCTGAGGATAGATAGTGCATACTTTGCTCATGACATCTGCTTCCTTGTTGCCAGGACTCCGTGGGCCATGGAATGCTACCTAAAATACTACCCAGGGTTCTGACTGCTGTAGAACTCAGTTATACATGTTCTCCTACATCTGTTGTCCTCATAAGAGCTGATCCAGTTCCTACCAGTCCTCCTTTTCTCATTGGGATATTCATAAAGTCGAGCCTCTGGATACAGCCCAAATATCAATACAGATTGTCAAATCCAAGTTTCAGAAGTTACTATTATCTAAATTAACTCAGCCTTGACTACTCCTTCTCCTGTCTCCTGCATATGTTGCCTGTGTTTATTTGTAATGCTTGTGCCATCTGTGAACCAAGCATCCGTTGGCATGGGTGATGTCTCTTACAGTACTTTACCTGGCTTGGCTGTTGTTATTCAGGGAAGTGAGGTATCATTAAAGGAAACCAAACATATCTTTGTGGCATTGGTGACAGGACTGGCAGACACTACACCCCATATAAATATGCATTGCATTTTGCAAAGTTTGGTCCCATTCCACCTTAGAAAGAGGCTTGGCCATTGGCCTTCAATCCAACTCTACTGGGAAAGTGCTGTATATTACAGATATATATTGGTATATATGGTAGGATCCATTAATAAATGTTCAAATTGAAGAGACTTCAGAAAAAGAGCAAATTTTAGGATGTTGAACAGCCTGAGCAGATTAATAAGGGACTGTGTGACAACGAGAAGCCAGAAAGTATAAGGGGTTGTTACCAGATCTAAGCAGAAGGAATAAGAAGTGTAAGGAAGTATCCTCCTTTAAATATCATAAGAACGGAACAGTTCACATAGGCCAAACAGCACAGATTATAAAGAATGATGGGCTCAGTTACAGAGATGCAGCCCAAGCAGGGCAATGGAGAGTCCATAACCAGATACAGCTGAATTACACTGGAAGCTCGAAGGGGAGGGACCGCTGCTGGTGTGGTCTACATGTCACAGAGGCACAGAGGAGGCTGAAAGGTAAAATGGACCTGTGAAGAGACAGTGGAGAATAAACTATTAAAGTCTCATGTGATGGTCAACTACCTATAGAAAAACATGACCCTACTCTGTCACTCTTAGGTGAAATCTAGAGTAGCCAACCTCACAGAAATGGATAGCAGGGTGATGGGCCACCAGACTGTGGGAAGAGTGAAATTAGATAATGTTAGTCAAAGTCCCAATTGTGTAAAATGAACACAGGGGAGTTTGAATGCATAATTACAACCACTAAGAATGGTGTATGTAGTAATCTGCTTGAAATTTGCTACAATGAAGAGCTTAAGCTTCATATACACCCTTTTAGCTCTCTCTTCTTTCTTCCAGTGTCTATATTTGCTTGAAGTCATGGGTCAACAGTTCTCTTCTCCTAACAATGAACACCACCAAGATTTGACCTACAGCTTTGCTGAGTATTTTAAGAAATTTAAGACCGGAAACAAAATCATTCCTCAGGAAATCATCACTTCGATTGAATCAAGCATGACAAACGGGAACATACAGGGGGCAAACTCTGCAATCAGTGATGCATTAAAAGAAATCGATAGTACCCCGCTCAACATTGCTGTCACTGGGGAGCCTGGGTCAGGGAAGTCCAGCTTCATCAATACCCTGAGAGGCATTGGGCATGAAGAGGAAGGTGCAGCTCAAGTTGGGGTGGTGGAGACAACCATGGAGAGATATCCATACAAACACCCCAATATGCCCAATGTGGTTTTTTGGGACCTGCCTGGGATTGGAACCATAAATTTCCCACCAAAAACTTATCTGGAGAAAATGAAGTTCTATGAGTATGACTTCTTCATTATTGTTTCAGCCATACGCTTTAAGAAAAATGATATAGACCTCGCCAAAGCAATCAGCATGATGAAGAAGGAATTCTACTTCGTGACAACAAAGATGGACTCTTACTTAAGAAATGAAGAGATATGCAAACCTCAAACCTTTGACAGAGAAAAAGTCCTGCAGGACATCCGCCTTAACTGTGTGAAGAAATTTAAGGAGAACGGCATTCAAGAGCCACCAATCTTCTTGATCTCTAACATAAATTTTTGTGACTATGATTTCCCAATCCTGATGGACAAGATAATAAGTGATCTTCCTGTATACAAGCGGCACAATTTTATGCTCTCCTTACTCAATATTATAGATTCAGCCATTGAAAAGAAGCGACAATTTTTAAAGCAGAAGATTTGGCGTGAAGCCTTTGCAGCTGACCTACTAAGTATCATCCCTTCACTGACCTTACTCTTGGACAATGATTTGGAGAATCTGAAGAAAAGCATGAAGCTCTATCGAACTGTGTTTGGAGTGGATGACACATCTTTGCAGAATTTGGCTAGGGACTGGGAAATGCCGGTGGATCAGGTGGAGGCCATGATGAAATCTCCTAATGTGTTCAAACCTACAGATGAAGAAACAATACATGAAAGGCTTTCAAGATATTTTCGGGAGTTCTGTCTGGCTAATGGCTATTTAGTTGCTAAAAATCTTTATCTTAGAGAAATATTTTACCTGAAATTTTATTTCCTTGACATAGTGACTGAGGACTCTAAAACTCTTCTCAATGAGATATGTTTAAGAAACAAGTTGATTTCTAATTAGGCTGAAGTCCTGTGTCTGTCAAAAAATCAGAATCGATAACAGAAAAATAGGACACTGATACTGTAAAACTATATACTGGGTTTATTCAGGGTATTCAGGTGTTATCCATATTAAGTGATTATATATCCACATTAGATGTAGCAAGGGGATCAGATATGTATAAATAAGCTGATAGCCAAAACCTATCTCCTCACTTTGAGTAAATTCTCAGATCAACTAATTTTACTTATATTTAAATTTGTTTCATATAAATCAACATCCATGTTCAGGGTTAGCATTATGGTGGTAAGTATTGTCAACTCAACAGACTAGAGTCATATGAAAGGTAAGCCTATAGGCTTGCGATTGGGAAATTATTTTACTTATGTTAATTGAGGTAGGAAGCCCTTCCCACTGTGGGTGGCACAATTCTCAAGGTGGCAATTGCCAACTGTATATATGGAGAGAGGGGCTAAGAGGTAGCATACTTCCAATCTTTCATAGCTCTCTGGTTTGTTTTTTGTTTTGTTTTGTTTTGTTTTGATTTGATTTGATTTGTTTTGTTTTGTTTAACTGTGGATGGAGTGGCACTAGCTTGCCTCAATCTACTGCTGTGACTTCTACTTCTTGAAAATGACCTTCTTGATAATAACCTTGAACTTGATACTATAGACTCTCTTGATAAAGATATTAAAGGAAAAAGCATAACTGGGCTGGAGAGATAGCTCCGTAGATAAAGTAGGCCTTGCAAGTCTGAAGACCTGAGTTCAGACTCCCTGAACGCACACAAAGCCAGCTAAGCATCTGTAATTCATGTACTTAAGTGGTGAGATGGGAAACAGAAAGAGGAAAACTTTAGAAGATCATGGGGCCAGCTATCCTGCCATATGCAGCAATGAGTAAAAGGCCCTGACCCAAGCAAGTGGAAGATAAAAGCCAACACGAAAGCTTGTTCTCTGATCTCTGCATACATGCTATGTAATGTTCATGCCTTCTATCACACATGGAAATGCACACACACAAAAACTTTTTTTCAGTTAAAAAATAGAAGGAAGGTTTGAGGCAGTAGCTCAGTGATATAATACTTGCCTCATATTCATGAGGCCTCAAGTTCAATCCCTAGCACTCCAGAAAAAAATTCAGAAAGAAATAAAGAGGGGGATATACAAGGGTGGGTTCAAGGTTAATAGAGACGGCTCAGAGATTAAGAACACTGGTTGTACTTGCATAGGACCAGGATTCAATTGCCAGAACCCACAAAGTAGCTCACAATTGCCTACAACTCCTGTTCCAGGGAGTCTGATATCATTTCCTGACCTCCACAGAGACTAGGCACTCATGTGGTAAACAGACATACATGTAAGGCAAGCATTCATACTATAAAAGTAAATTAAGAAAAAAATTAAATATATGATTAAATTAAAAAGGGAGAGAGAAACAATAACATAGAGATCACAATAACCTTAATAATGACTAAGAATATAAAAAATAAAAAAACAGAATCCTATCTAGTCAGAATCCTTAAGAAAATGCTAAAGAGGCTCTCTAATTCTATGCCAGAACAAGGGAGATGATGAAATTTCTCTGCTCTATAATGATTGGTGTTTTGAATGCTGTGATAGTAAATACCTGCTCTATTCCACATCAACACCTAAAGTCATTTAATAAATTATTTATGAAAAAAAAAGACATGTATTGCTACTTGACATTCCCAAGAACCCATTACAGCTTCGCAGTGACCTGTCCTTAGTATTACTGTTAGGTGCTGATGGTCTCATTGCCCACTCCCTAGTCTACAACTTATCTTCCTTGAAATAAAGTACAAATAAACAGCACATGTGTTAGTACGACCAAAAGAGAAACACAGAAGAAAGAGAAAATTTATTCATGGAGGGGAATGATTTCTCAAATAGTTTGAGCTGCCATAATCCTATGGACTAGGTTCGTTAAAAAATAGAATTTTGTTCTCAAATTTCTAATGATGATGTCTGACATCTGGGTACCAATGTGGCAAAATCCTCAGTGAAAGCATCCTTCCTGGTAATGACTTCACTTGGTCTTCCACAATATGTGTGTGTAGAGGATGATTCACTGTCTCCCCTTCCTACGATCACATCATTTGGGCTCCATTTTCATGACCTAGTTCAAGCATAGATGCCTCCCAAAGACTTTGCTCCTAACATGGCCCCACTGAGGGGTTGGGTTATTAACATAAGATTAACATTAGGAAGGAACAACCAGTCCCTAATAAGTTATGAAAATTATGCTGGTGGTTCAGTTGCTTTGTTATTAGAAGCTATGCCACTCAGAAACACCAATTACTCCAAAGTATTTTTGCCATAAATTGAGGTACAGACTTGCCAAAAAGATAGCTAATGAGAATCACCAGACAACTCCTGCTCATTTAAGAAATAAACCCAAAGAAGAAGTAGATAATGTTTGCTGATAATATTTAGAGAACACTGGATTATCATACTATAAAACAAGAGGCCTTGTGTTAGTTAACTTAATGTTAATGTAACAAATATCAGAGATAATCATCATACAGAGAAAAAAGTGTTTACATTTGGCTTATAGTTTCAGTGTGGTCTATGATTAGATAGCCCCATTGCTATGGACCTGCAGTAAAACCTCAGAGTAGAGAATACATAAAATCAGATCATGGGAGAGGAACAGTCCCAATGTCCCCTCAACAGTGTCCCCCTAATGACTTCAAATCTTCTTAATAGGCCCCATTACTTAAAGGTTCTACCATGTTCTAATCACTCCATGATGGTAACCAATGGACCTTGCTTTGGGAACATTTTAACCCCAAACGTAGCATTCCTCTCCTTTCAGAAGAGGGAAACAGAAGTAGGAATCTGAGTGGGACTTGAATGCTAAACAGTGGTTGTGTAGTTACAGCACTCACAGTCTGAAGATGATGGAAGAACCACCATTGTGTAACCATGATGAAATCTGAAAGATGGTAAAGCAAGCATATGCAATCTGCTGAAAGGGAATGTCCAAAGAGAATATGCCTAACACTTGACTTTAGAGACCTTTGAGACAGACATTTTTTCATGTATTTTTTTACTTTACATCCCAATATCTGGCCCCTCTGCTCCCAGGCCTTCCGCTCACACAGTTCCTCCCCTACCCTCCTCCCCTTCTCCTCTGAGAAGTAGGAAACCCCCTTTGGTATCACCCAACTCTGACACATCAAGTCACTTCAGGATTAGAAACATCCTTTCTCACTAACAACACAGTCCTGTTAGGAGAACAGGATCCACAGGCAGACAGGCAATGTGTTCAGGGACAGCCCCCACTCCAGTTGTTGGGGGACACACATGAAGACCAAGTTGCACATCTGCTCCATATGTGCAAGGAGCCTAGCTCCAACACATGCTAGCTTTTTGGTTCACGGTTCAGTCCCTGGGTGTCCCAAGGATCCAGGTTAGTTGACTCTGTTGGTCTTCCTGTAGAGTCCCTATGCCCTTCAAGACCCTTAATCCTCCCCCTACAAGTCTTCCATAAGGCTCCTGGAGCTCCATTTAATATTTGATTGTGGGTCTCTGCATCTTTTTCCATTGGCTGCTGGGTGGAGCCTCTCAGAGGACAACTATGGTGGCCCCCTGTCTGTAAGCATTACAGAGTTTTATTAATAGCATCAGGGATGGGTGCTTACCCATGAGATAGATCTCTATTTGGACCAGTCATTGGTTAGCCATTCCCTCCATCTCTATTCCATCTTTGTCCCTGCACATCTTGTAGACAGGACACATTTTGAGTTAAAGGTTTTGTGGGTGGATTGGTGTCCTTAACCCTCCACTGAGAGTCCTGCCTGGCTACAGGTGGTGGCCACTTCAGGTGCCATATGCCCCACTGCTAGGAGTCTCAGCTAGAACTACCCTGGAACATAGACTCCCTGGGGCCTCCTCTAACCCCATCCCAGGTCTCTGGCACAATCTAGAGATGCCCCAGCTTCCCACCACCTATTACTATTCTCTCTCCCCTGCTCTCCCTACACCTGATACTCCCACCCCATTCCTCTCCCCATCCCATCTCCCACTAAATTCCCTCCCTCTACCAACCTCCAATATCTACATTATTTCTCCTTCTGAAAAAGATTTGACCATCCTCCCTTGGGCCCTCCTTGTTATATGGTTTCTTTGGATCTGTGGACTGTAGCATGGTTTTCCTGTAGTTTATAGCTAATATTCACTTATAAGTGAGTTTATAACATATATATCTTTTGGAGTCAGGGTTAACTCACTCAGGATAATATTGTCTAGTTTCATCCTTTTGCCTGTAAAATGCATGATGCCCTCGTTTTTAATAGCTGAGTAGTATTCCATTGTGTAAATGAATCACATTTTCTTTATCCATTCTTCAGGTGAGGGACATCTTGGTTATTTCCAGTTTCTGGCTATTACAAATAAAACTGCTATGAACATAGTTGAGCAAGTATCCTTGTGGGATGATGAAGAATCTTTTGGGTATATACCCTGGAGTAGTACAGATAGATCTTGAGGTAGAACTATTCCCAGTTTTCTGATAAACCACCAAATTGATTTCCAAACTGCTTGTCCAACTTTGCACTCCCACCAGCAATGGAGGAGTGTTCCCTTTGCTCCGCATCCTTGCCAGCACATGCCATCCCTTGAGTGTTTGATCTTAGCCATTCTGATGGGTGTAAGGTGGAATCTCAGAGTCATCCAAAATTGATTTATTTCTTTACTATATTTCAGTAAAATTGACATTTTAACTGGACCTCTTAAATGATTTACACTTTATAGATGTACTGATTACTGATATGGTCATACTTATGTCTGCTAATTTGCTGGGGGGTTTTTTCTCCTTGCCTTTTCTTTTTTTTTTTCTTGCATATTTTTAATTAAATGGAGATACACTACTTTCAATTTCTGGCTTATTATTTCTTACTTATGTGTTTACAAATGAGTCCTTAGGTTTGCAATGTACACTCATTGCTTACCCTAGTTTGTGGATAAAAAGAATTCAAATCAAGTTAGTTCTCTCCTTGCAGTATGTGGGTTCTGCGATAAGGCTCAGGATGTCAGGTACAGAGTTGAGTGTTTTTTTTTTCAACTGAGCTTTCCTCTCCTCCTTCCTGTCTACCTACGTCTCAGCATCCCGCACTTATTTCTTCCTCTCGCCATTTTTCGTACTGTAGTATTTTTTCTCTCAATAACTCACATGGTTGAGATAATAATAACATTCTGTTGTTGTTGTTACATTCTTCAGATATCTCAGAAGCTGAGCTAGAGAAATGGCTTAGAGTTCTTGACACAAAACAATGAGGATCTGAGTGCAAAGAAAATGTGCAATAAGGTAAAACTGGCATGCCACCCTGGGGAGAGAGTGAAGAAAGTGGTAATGCCAAGGCTTTCTGGCCTGCCACCAACATAGTGCCAGACTCAGTGAGAGACCCTCTCTCAAATGAATAAGGTGGAGCATGAACTAATAGGACACCTAGGATTTTCCTCTGACTTCTAGGCACCCATACTTAACAAACACACACATGCACATACACCATACACACATATACCACATACACATAGGTACACAAGCACACAGGCACACATGCCACACAGACCAGGGACTTGTAGATTTTGGCTAAAAATCAATGCCTTAAAACTACTGCTTCATAGATACATTTTTCCTTTTCAACTAATATGGGGAGAATCCATTACTTCTTAGACCACATGCCTGACAGATTTGTACTGTGCATTTTGACAATTGTGGCTAACATTTCTATAATTTATATTTGTTCCACCAAGTCTTTAAAGTCCTCTATCTTCATATGTATTGTAACACTGCAACAGAACCCCCAGACCTTAGCACAACTGACATCAGATGATGGAAGTGTCATTCAGCCCAAAAAGTACACACATGGACACTACTACATACCTCAATGAAAACAAACGCCTAGTTCACCAAAATCCATAATGCTAGGAAAGTCTCTAAATGTACTAACCTTGTTTTTCTGGCTTCTGTGGTTCCACTTGTGGTTAATTGTTGTTGTTAACTGAAGTCTGTCAACTCAGGATTTTGGGTTTTGTGCTTAAAAACTCACCCTGAGACCTGAACACCCAGTGCAGTTGCCAGCCAGCTAATAAAGATTTTTCTATTGGCTTAAACCCACACAATAGTCTCTGGTGAATATCCCACATCAACATGGATGTCATCTATTTTTTAAAACATTTCTAAGTTGATATGCTAACATTCCTCTTCTTGCATGCTTGGAGTTCCACCTCAACCTACCTTCAATCCAGAAACACTCTGACAATGGCAGACTTTTCTATGGTTTGGATAATCTTTGGTTACTGAGGCAGGTTTAAGGAAATGTATGGGTACCATGTTACCTAACTGAGTGAAGTCTTCCTTCCAAGTCTTCTACTTTTGCATATAGTGAGGCTTTTGGGAGACGTCTGCCTCCAGAACCAATGAGGCCTGAGTGAAGCATTGATCTACAAATGGAATTTTCAGCTCAGTCTTTTTTCCTTGTCCCTTCTCTGGGGAACAACATTCACATCATGTTTCTCTGATATTTGAGTGATTGTGCTTTCAACACATGGCTTGCCCAGTCCAAAGCAGGCTAGGTTCACTGCTGGAGGTTCTCCCCCTGTTCAGACCCAGGAATGCAAGCATTACAATTTTTTTCCCAAAAGGTAGTGGAATTTGCCA